GTGTTAATGTAAAGAGTTGCAAATGAACCACCAATATTCTAATAAAAAAATGTAAGAATTTTGACTGTCCAGCTTTCACCTTGGCTTATTAATAATTATTAATAATATATCAAGTGATATTTGGACATTTCTTCTCTTTTACAATACAGAAAAACTCATTAACTCTTCCATTCTTCCATGAAGTATTTCCATGTCTGAATCTCCTCACCTTGCATCTCCGTCTTTGTTCAACCCTAACTCTAACTGGGTCAGGCCGGACAAGCCTGTTGTGTGGAATACATCAGCCATGATGAAAAAGAGAAGCTCTCAGAGCGTTCTCATTAGTGCATAGTCTTGAATCTGATTAAATGGGATGACTAATCTCAGCCAAGTCACTAGTCAACAGCAGACAACTTGCATTAGGAGGATATCCGGTCACAGTCCTGTTTTTATAACGATGCATAGTGACAAGAGGAAGCTGACGAGAGGGAGGAGGAGGAGGAGGAGGAGATGGAGGGGGGGGGTTCATTTAATTGTGTGTATATATACTAGTGTGTGGGTGTGTGTGTGCACGCATACAAATACAGCAAGATGCCATCATTCAGGACAGTGACGTTAGGTCAACAGTCTATGAAGACTGATGCTGCTGCTAACTGTTGTGAGTTATTTATAGACTTACAGACACAACGTGTCAAATGTGAGAAAATTAAATTACACTGCCTTTTTTTGACAGCGACGGAATATTGGTTTAAAAGAAACACTTGGAGGTGACTGGGGAGTTAAAAAAGTTATTCTCTGTCTTTATTTATGATTACTTTTTACTGTAAATAATAAAAAAAACCCAGACAGGTAGAACAAAAAAAGAAAATCCCAGACAGGTGAGGTGGGATATTAAGTTGGCCGTCCACGTCGTCTGAAGTGTAGCTGTCGATAGTAAAAGTCGAAAAGTCACTCAGGGGCTGAGATCTGGGCCACAAGGTGTTCTGTGGTGACAGCTGACATTTCCCTGAGGTTGCATCTGAAGAAGTGTGTCACAGAGGAGATGTTGGCCTTTTACACTCTCTGCCTAACTAGCATTCATCAGCAGCACATACACACACACACATGAATGCTCATAAAAAAGATTGTTTTTTGCCCATATAAAGTTCTCTAGAACTGTTGGTGAAACATTAGCAGTCAGACATAAGCCTGTGGTAACAGATGGACAAACACCAGTGCATTTATTGAATCAATTATTTCTATTTGTTTTATTATCCCTACTTTTTCCACCGCCCTTCCAATTTACATGAGCCTTGGCTTAAACTTCATTTACGGGCTCTGATAAAGAGGCAGCCAGGGAGCGCAGTAAAACCCCAGTGAATCACATGAACTTTTCCTCTCTTTGAAATGACATCACAGAGGCCCTGCGTGATTAATGTCACCGCACGTGTTAGGAACATTTCACCCCAGAGTGTCAGCTGAATATCTGGGAACAAGAACATCTTAAACTCTCAAAGCCGAACTGGGCTGAGACTACGAGGGGTTTTTTATACGTAACCAGACTCTCAATTAACCTTTATGTAATCTCAGACAAACAGACAGCATTTACACACCAGGCTTCATAATGGATATCAGTACTGTACTGTATTGTGCTGCTGGTGTGTAATACTATTTGCCATACGAATCAGAGAAAACAAGGCAGGCCTGATTACAAACCTGAACGGGCCGCATCTGGCCCCCGGACCTTAGTTTGATCATGCCTGACATAGACTGTTAAAATAAATGAATATTCAAACTTATTCATGTCCTTACAGAAACTGCAAATAACTATAAAAAATGCTTCCTAAACTTCGCATAATTCTGATTGGCATAAAGTTGTTAAAATTAGGAATTTATCGTTGAGGTTTCACTGTTGATCATGGAATTAAAAAATGTGTTGTTGATTATTCCAAGGAGCATGGGAAAAATCCCGGTGATGTCGACTCAAATCTCAATCTTTTTCATGTGATTGGTTAGTTTGATGTTAAGAGCCACAGATGGTGGTTAAAAGTGTTACGTCAAATACCAAACGACACTGACATAGACAAGTCCAAAACTAAAATTTGTTTTCATGTCAGACACACACTACGGGCTACAGACATGTGGTCGACTGCAAAATACTGCTGCTAATCCCCATCACCAATAACATTCTGTGCGGTGATAATGCATGCTGCTTGTATTGTTAGAGCTTTCTTCTGACCCTGCAGACTGACACTGTTCAATTACTCCGAGACACTCCAACCTGAATGTTTAACTCAGCACTGCAAATGCTTCAAGAAAAAATCCCCAGCATGCTCGGGGCTTGGGTTATTTTTAGGTAAGAGGATGTGTAGAATGACAAACAGCCATTTACTATGAAACTTCAATGAAGCAGATCCCAGATCAGATTCATTAAATGAGACCGTGTGTCTGCCGTCTGTCTGACAGGGACAAGGTAATGGATGATAAACACCGGTACATGCCTGGTGGAAAAACCTGAACAAACCTCTGTTTTCAATTCCTGGTTCCATTGATCACAAACATCAATGCCTCTTCAATATAGAAGCAAAATGAGGGTGTTGTAAAACACACCACAACTCTGCTGTGTGGGCTTCAAAATTGTTGGAAAATATAGTTATTAATAAAATCTCTTCATTTTGCTCAAATGTTTTTCTTTAGGTTTATAATTAATTCTATTTACTTTTAAAATATTATTATTATTTAATTTAGGCTTTTTGTACATTTATGTCTATGTCTATCAGGCTGTGTCTATTCCTCTCCCAATAATTGCTGGGATTGGTTACCACCATCCCCCTACCCCCCACCCCCCCTCTTTCCTCCAATCTTGAGGAAGATAAAATGATGAATAATAATGAAGACACCATCTCATACTGGCCTGTGCCTCAGTCTAGAGTAAACAATGTTTCAGTAATTTTTAATTTTTGGTGTGTATGGGGAAAAAACCTGGAGCTCATTGAGAGTTGATTTCACTCTGTTGTTCTGCTTTAGTGCAGTCTTAAGTTTCCAAAATACATCAACTCTACCTTCACCAACATGTTAAAAACCAACTCCCGTCCACCACTCTCTGCCAGCCGACCTCATATAACCTCATAAGCAACGCCCTTCTGTTGCCTGTCGTGTATTGATGCCACTCTTTCGTTGACTTCACACTGTGATTCTGATGCTTCACTTTCACCTTTTACTTGTGAGACTCCACAACACCCATGCACTGAGAGGGAAGAGGGAACATTCCCTCATTAATAGTGCAATTACAATCATGGCTGTAGTGCAGAAATACCTCTGTGGGCACCGTGACCCTGCTGTTAGTCGACATGGTAATCTACACGTCAGCTTCATCAACCTGCTGAGAACATGGCTACAGGAGGAGAGGCCCTTCATGTCTTTTCCAGGGTGATTGTAATCAGAAAGAGCATCTCTCCATTTGTGCCCAGTTAGAGGGAAGGAGGAAAGTACTGAGCTCTACAAACATTCTCACAGTGTTTCCCCGAGAAGGGATTACCATTTGGATTACAATTGGATTACCAAAGTATAACCCCTGCTTATATTTGACTAGGTTCATCAAATAGTATCCGTGTATTACTGTCAGTCATGTTGATTTCCTCGCTGTTTCCTCTCTCTCGGTGTGAATCCCCTCGTCTTAATGCAGAGTAGTGAAGCCACTGTGTGAAACGTTTCCGCTGCATAACCCTGTGCCATTTCACAAAGAGCACATTGATTCAGAGTCTACGAGGAACAGCCGCTGCTCTTTCACGTGAGAGTTTTAAGGTCAGCAATACTTAAAAGTCTGTGAGAGTCAGGGATATTTTATACTTTGATACCCATGTACATTTTACATCACACAAAAAAAAACCCTGCAGTGATGTTTTCTCTTCTTTTTACACAGTGTGAGCCTGTGTTTTCTCCACAACAATGGAGTGTTTGCAGGATGGATGTACAAGTCAAACACTGGTAAAATAGACACGTATCCTGCCTGCAGGGCCACAATATAGATTAACTTCATCTGAACGTAAAGACAAACCACAACCCTGCCAAATCTCCCAAGAGAAACAAGAAACCAGGGTAAAAAAAAAAAGCCCAAACGAAACGACAGCTGCCTGACAATGAAGGACAGACATGTCTCCTGATTTACATATATGAATGCACTTAAAATGCTAAATTATTTTAAATAATTCCATTACCAATTCATCTGGATATTTCCACTTGTGGTCAAATTAAGTATTTAGATTTTGTCTCTTTTTTCCTAGGTTTTTAAAAGATACTTTAGATTTTTGCCAAGTTTTTCTAACCTGACCAACAAAGATTACAAATCCACTCAAAGGCAGAACGGTGTGGGTCACGCAACCCTTTGCTTCCCTGCTGTTGTTGCCAGACGCTGCATCTGGACAGACTACAGACAAACTAGGTGGAGTATTTGTCATGACTACACTTTCTAAACCAGCCCAGAAACATGAAAGTCACAGGTATCAAAGAAGCCACGAGTTACTGCATGTTAGATGAACTGGGCCGTCAGTGTAGTGGTTCAGGTAGAAAATATCAAAGTTCCCAAAAGAGTACATTTGTCTTTGTATTTGAATACTGTATAGTTTAGTTTAACTTTCCTCAGATAGTTCAGTTACCTTCTTATTATCCAAAGATTCTCCTCAGATACATACCGTAATTGTCAGACTATAAGCCGCTACTTTTTTCACACCCTCTGAACCCCGCGGCTTGAACAATGATGCGGCTAATTTATGGATTTTTACGGGCTAACGAAGTTCATACCGCTAGCAATCAATGACTGGTAGGCTACTGTGTTATACTGTGTGTTATACTGGTAGCGTACGTCTGTCTGTGAATGGCAACTTAACTATTTAAGGTGATTTGATTTGATTTTAGGTGAAGAAATAATACATGGATTATAGTAACGAAAGCATCACTATAATCTCAGGTTCATTTCAACTCAGAAAATATTGATCACTTACTTCATCTGACCATAAAAGACACCAATACAGTAGGGCTCTTACCTCCTCCCACTGGTGAATGTAGCGTATGAGTCTGGAGAGGCGGAGCAGCCGCAGCAGGCTGAGGATCTTGGTGAAGCGGACTATCCTCAAGGCCCTTGCCGTCTTGTAGAAATCGGAATCAATGCGTGTCTCCACGATGAGGAAGATGTAGTCCACGGGTATGGAGGAGATGAAGTCCACCACGAACCAGCTGCGCAGGTACTTTATCTTGATCTGCTGCGGGTCCAGGATGATCTCTGTGTTGTCCTCTTTGACGATGCCCGTCCTGAAGTTAAGGACCAGGTCCATGAGGAAGAAGGTGTCGGAGACCACGTTGAACACGATCCAGGGCGGGGTGTGCTCGTCCTTGAAGAACGTTATGCCCACAGGAATGATGATGAGGTTGCCCACCATCAGCAGCAGCATGGTCAAGTCCCAGTAAAACCTTCACAGACAGAGAAATGGAAATGTGTTGATTAAATGGAGAAAAGCTCATTCTTTCCATTGCATTTTAAGAACCCATCGCATATGCATGTGCAGGCAATACATATGCATGGTATCTATTCAATCCCCGGCCACGGGCCTATAAAGCTGGTGCTGTTAGAAAAATGTTCCGTTTTTATTATAATGATTATTATATAATATGCCGTTAAATGAAGAAAATCTGCCGCCACAGATTTAACCTATCTTAAATAAATTTACATAAATATAAGTAAATAACTGTTTAAATATAGTATTAATCCAGTACACACAGTGTAACTCGATGGTTTTTAATGCTTGACAAATAAAACTGGATTGGACTGAATATACAGGTTTATACGCTAAAAAAAAAACAAAATCCCTGATGTTGTGTTTGTGTTTGTGAGAACATCTTTGTCTCCAACATGGATGTGTTATTATACTGATGGGCAGTTCATTTAAACAAACTGTAGTTTATTAAAATGCAGTTTTATTCAAACCACCAACCAAACAAGGGCATTCAGACTTTGGTCAAAGGTAAGGGCCGTGGACTTTTTAGTTTCATCAAATATCTTTCGCTCACAGGTACCTGTGTGTACTGTGTGTACTGTGTGTACTGTGCTTTCAAAAGCAACGTTACCTGTGTTGTAATAATACTGTAATAAACCATAACAGCGTCCTGTGCCAACCCTCAGCTGACCACACACCATAAATCACAACTCAAAGGTCAGTCAGGGTTAAGCGTTAATTACAACACGCGCCGTGACCTCGTCCATCTTCCCAGTACGTGAGTTTGGACCTGGGGGGTAGTGGGGGGGGTGGGGGGGGCAGGTAATTAAATCCAGATTGGTTCTTTTGTGTTAGGGCCGATATATTCTGGATTCTACACAGGATGCACCGCATACTGCATTGTCCAGTGGTCCAGTGTGTTTTCAGTGATTTACTATGATAGCCGCGCACGCACACACACACACACACACACACACACACACACACACACACACACACTGAGCCATAAAGATCGGCCACTGAGCAAAACTAATTTAAAGACAGGGTCCAGAGAAAATACAGATGGAATTATACTACAGTACTTTCATACCCAGGGCTCTGCTGACTGAAGCGACTCTTCTTCTCCCTTATTACAACTCATGTCTATTGATCTCATAGCTGTGGTAAAGCTAGTGCATTGTGGGTTCGTGCTGTGCTGCAACATGACTTTTAATCTGGAAGGTCAAATCTGGTTGTACAAATATTTTGTTTTTATTTTTCATCAATAATGTGCTACGATATAAACCCAGATTTCAGACTTATCACAAGGAAGAACACACACACACACACACACAGGAGAAGCTGTGACAGTAATTGGTGTTCTTTAAGTAAAAGAGGGTCTTCGTCTCCAGCTCATTGTCAAGTAGAGTTATATTTAGACAGACCTTGCCACTACTGTGAGATTTCTTTTCTTTTTTCACGTTACAAATGAAAGCCCAGGGGAACACAGGGGGGAAAACTTCAAAGGGAGAAATACAAACATAGGTGTTGACACTGGTTCTTCACTTGGTGCCTCGTTCTTTAATCCCACAACCTCCACAGACTGTGCATTTGTGTAAGCTAAAGCTAATTGGAGCTCTTTCATCACATGACAGGTTGTACCAGCAACAGACTAAGACGAACAGTTCCTTTAACGTCCGTTATAATGTGCAATTTTTTCCACACAAAAAAAAGTTAAAATAAAAGGAACCATGTAAATCACTATGTTACCATTTTATAGTTTAATATCAAATGTCCAAATATAATGGCCACACAATGGATGGATGAATGGATGAATTGATGGATGATGATGATGATGGATGGGTGGACGGATATTGATTTTAAAGGATTTAATGCCATTCTCTGTGGAATCAAGGTCAAATAATATCTGCACATTATAAAGGCAACAATAGACCAACACGCCCAGTGTGACACCTGCTCTACATATGGTAATTATGTTAATAATGTTTATGCAGCCATAACATGAACCATAACCACTATCTTGGTTTGACAGGTTCAATACAATGTACAATTTCATACTAAAATCAAAAAGGAAACTTTTCAAAGTATTTGACAAAAACACTTCCAACTGCAGTGTTTTTGCACCAGGAGAAAACAAAAGGCAAACCGAAGATGTATGGCACATAAAAAATATGACAAAACAAGGACACAGCCAAAATGAAGGGCCAGAGACGAGTTTCCAAACAACACTGAAGGAGACCAGAAGATAATTCAGCATCACAGAGCTGGAGATTCAGAATGTGTTTTCAGATAACCAGCATCTCCGCTACAAAGAAAACACAATCAAATCCATACGTCAACACACAGACACATCCTGATGTTTTATTGTAAAGATTATTTCCACCTACGGGTCTCCAAACAGACAAACAAGAAATCCATATAGAGCTGGTACAAATCTCCAAGACAGATTATTTGATACATACAAAAAAAAATGTGGTTTTGAGTCTGTGTGTATCTAACAATGACTTGACCTTTTCACTTTGGTTTCTGTAACGGTCGGTCCATTGGGATCAATTCACTGCGTTTTATACTTAATGTCATTTAATAAAAATTTACTCGAGTCTATAAATACAGTTAGGAGTGTCATTCAGACGTTAAAGGCAACGGGCAAAGGGTTATGTCCTTATGTGTAACAAAAAAAATTCAAAGACGACCATCAACAAACGGGTGGGGGTGGAAAACAACAGAGAGATGACTGAGCTGTAACATTGACATTGGTGAAAGACAGAAATAAACAGATTGTCATTACATGGTAAGGACCGGAATCAATGATTTAATCAGGTATTTACAAAACATAAAAAATGTTCTTTTAAATTGTTCTGAAAGACTCTCAATACATCAACTCATGAAAAGTCAACTCCAGTCATTCTGGTGTCTAATGCAAAATGATGGTTTGGCGCCCCCTATTTAATCACTTATAGACTTACAGCATTGCCCCCTCCAGCAGAGAGCGCCCTAGGTAAGAGCCATACTGCTGCTGTAGGGCGACATCATTAAAACAGTTTTTAATGGGCACAGCAGCTGGAATGATCTGGTTTTAACAGAGTCCTGACACAAGAGACGCAGTGTGTTGTCCAGTGATGTGTCCAGAGACAGTAGGAACATGTTCTCACCATCAGAGTCCATCTGACTACATCAAAGTCCTCTCTCATTCTCCTCACCCTGTCAGGAGAACTAGTCCGGAGGAACCTTGCTGGCAGATCGAGGCAGGTACGGAACCATGCATGTGTTTCCATCTGAACAGTGATGGTCGGGCGAGTGTGGCTGTCCATACTGCATCCACAGTAACAGACAGGGGAAACAGACAGGGCCAGAGCCTGTGAGCAGATTATCTGTCCTGTCAGGTAAAAGTGGCAGATGGTGTTTAACAGCAGCTCCTTTGATTCTGACAGAATGGAAACAATGGGCGCTCACGCACCTCAAAGCATGGGAGCTGGACTTGTCCCTTTTTTTTGTCTAGAAATTTTGATTTACAAACTCATGCGCACGCAAGCACAGACAAAGCCTTCAGTTTGTACAATAGTAACATGATGTTTGGATGATTAAAAAAATGACTGTCTTTCCATGAAAAAGCTGTTTGTGTCCCTAACAATTTATCCAAATTTTCTTTGTCTCTCTATCTCGAAAAAAAAAAAGGTCATTTTCCTTTCATCAGGAGTTACCACAGCAGCCGTGCACACAGTGATGTGGCACAGTGTTTACCCCAGTTATTTGGAGTAAAACAGCACAGCCTCGTCTCCTCATATTCATCCCTATGGTGAATTAACAGTGTCCATTTGAACTAATCTTTCACATTTTCAGACTGTGGAAGAAAAAACCTAATTTGGTGAGACTGGTGAACCACTTTTGTATTTGCTGTAAAACATATTTCATCTGTTGTTTACATGAATGGAGAACTAATCAATTTATTCTTTTGTCCAATAAACAGTACAGTTTAGTCAAGATTTAAGAGGGAAAAAAAAGAGAATTACTGTTTATATTTAAATGTCTACTGAGTTGCTGTAATTTTATTATTGCTATTATTTTTAATCTTACACCTTATCAGTGTGGTTTATTAGGCCCATGAGTTTCAAATCATCTTCGTTTAAAATTTGTACATATTTATTAGAGTTTCCCGATCCTCTATGAGCCCCATAATAATTTAATAAACACTCGTGTGTTTGTTTTAATCATTAAATTTTCTCTGCTGTTGCATGGATAATTGCATCAGAAAGGCAAGTATGGCTAAAGTCTGGAGCCTTTAAATGAATAAACACAGCAGTCTGTTCTGAAATAAGGCAAGAAAGGCTGTAATTAAAGAAACAAAAAGCTCCCCTTAATTAACATGGGCTGCACTCAGCCAAAGGTGGGACGAGCCTTACAGCTGTACAACAGAATCTGAAACATCGCCACAAATAAGACCAGAGTCAGAGTCATATCAAAGCCCACTATTTAACAGGCAAATTGTAAAACATAAATACATTTTAAAAAGTAGCAGAGTTCAGGTGTAGAGGGGGGAAAAAACACGTCAAGTTAAACGGGTTAAATGTGAAACTGTTGTCACTCGCTCCAATGAACTGTTATAATGGTGCTGTCTTTGCTAAGAACAGCCACCGGGCTCACTGTGAGCATATCATCCACACTGGCACTGCGCAGTCACAGGTCGCTATATTTAGGTAAGACGCCGTGTTTTATCAGACCATGGCTTAAAAGAATTCATCAGCGATGGAGGCAAATCCCCTGCACACAATCCCCACCCCCCAGCCCCCCAAACCTCCAGCTAAAAGAAAGCACTGGGATTTAGTAAATATCTGGCCAGATGAGAGGCCTGTGGCAAACGTGAACGGAGTCAAGCTCAGCCAACACTGCTATAAAACAATACAGGTCTGATGTTAAAGGACGGTGCATGTGATTCTTTTTTCTTTTGCCCCTAAAGCTTTGCCTGGTCCATTAACAGCC